TGACGGAGATGAAGATGGATAACCGCGCGTTGCTGATAAAGAATGCAAAGAGCTTCGATGGGCGGCCAGACAAGCCCAAGACGGAGGAGACTCAGGATAATGGACGTGGAGCCAGGGATGCGAAACCAAAGAACCCTCCCAATAAGCGCGTGTTCGTTGGCAACCTCTCCTTCGACGTCACCCAAGAGGATCTCAAGAACCACTACGCACCATGTGGAAGAATCGATAATATACACATGGCAACGTTTGAAGATTCTGGCAAATGCAAGGGCTTTGCCTGGGTTACTTTCAGGGACGTGGAAGCTGCGACAGCAGCGGTCAAGGGCTTCGTCTTCAAAGACCCATCTGCGTTCAAGAACAAGAAGGACAAGGACGAGAGTGATAGCGAGGTCGACACTAGCAAGCCCGTAAAGCAAAGGAAATGGCTAGTCAACAAGCTCATGGGCAGAGAGTTGCGTCGCGAATTCGCCGAAGACAACCATACGAGGTATCACAAGCGATTTGGCCATGAGAAGGAGGGTGCGGATGGAGAGAATGCAGGTCGCGAGAGGGGCTTTGGCAGGGGAGGAGGAAGCCAAAGAGGAGGCAGGCAAGACTTTGGGGAGAGCAATGGCGGCCGGGGTGGCAAGCGGAAGGTCGACCCGAGGAATATCAAGAGTGGTGCTGCTCATATGAGTACTCAAAGGGCGAGTCAAGCTATTGTTGAGTCGCAGGGCAAGAAGACTACTTTTGATTAAGCATAGACACTGTAGTTGGGAAGGAATGTATAGGAAGGGTTGTGAGCAAGAGCTGGTCGTGGTCCACCGCACGTTCCTGCTGCGCATTGTGAGACCGGCAGGTGTTTGGCGCATGGCTACAACTGTCATCACCCGCTTCTCCATCTGCTCCTCGTCCCTCAAAACAACCCTAATACTATTGCTACGCCCTGAAAGCGACTCATCTTGACCAACCTATATACCACCTTCTTACCATATATCTCTCTTTCCTCACCACAATCCAAACCCCCCAAACCTTCCGCCCACCCACCTCCACTCCCAAGAATGTCAAACCTAAAACGCATATCCATCCTCCCCAACCCATCCTGCGAGCGCGCCGGCCTAAAATCCTACGCCTCCCTCCTCCGCAAATACGACTTCGCGCCCACCACGGAGGGTCCCTTCCAAGTCCTCGACGTCGCCACCAAATCCGTAAAGAACCTGTTCAAGCCCGCGGCTAAGAAGGAAACCAAACCTGTTCTGAGGAAAATTGAAGAGGAGGGCAAACCGGGCGAGGTCAAAGCGGAAGATCAGCAGAATGATGCGTTGTATATTTGTCCCGTGGAGATTGGTAGCCCGCCGCAGGTGATGAATTTGCATTTTGATACGGGGAGCAGTGATCTTTGGGTATATTCTCCGCTTCCCAAGTGGCTTTGCCAAGGAGGTGGAGATGCTGATTCACGTTGCGATGTAGGTATAGTCTACCTTGCTGGATCCTGCGACGAAGAAGGCGGCGGTGAATGGAAAGACGAAACATAACGTCTTTGATGCAAAGGCTAGTGAGACGTTCAAGAAGGTTGAGGGTGCGAGTTGGAGGATCAGGTATGGGGATGGTGAGTTTCTTCTTGACTAATCATCCAGCCTTACCACATAATGACCTCTTCGCTGATCGTGATGTACAGGCTCAACGGCCTCCGGCATCGTGGGCACAGACAACGTGACCCTCGGCGGCCTATGCATCGAGAACCAAGCAATTGAACTCGCCAACAAACTCAGTCCGCAGTTTACTTCCGGCGCAGGAGACGGGCTGTTAGGTCTAGGATTCGGACATATCAATACTGTCAAGCCGAAGAAAGTGGCTACGCCTGTTGAATCGGTCAGTCCTCTTCCCTATGTTTGCCAACACTCTTTCTTTGATCCTGTCGTCCTTTCTCATTTCCTCGCCAACACACCGCTAACATCCCCCCACCCAGATGATCTCCCAATCCGACATCCCCACCTCCAGCGAACTATTCACCTGCTACCTCGGCTCCTGGCGCGACACCACCGACGCCGATCACGGAGAATCCTTCTACACATTCGGCTACATCGACGAGACCGTCCTGTCCCGCTGCGGCGTCTCAGAACCCCACTACGTCCCCATCGACTCTTCACGCGGGTTCTAGCAGTTCCCCTCGCCTACCGCCGTGCTAAACGGCGAAACCATCCAACGACCACCTGGAAACACGGCGATTGCAGACACAGGAACTACACTGGCGCTGCTGGACGACACGCTCTGCGAGAAAATATACAGTACGATTCCTGGTGCGGTATTCGATAAAGCGCATCAGGGGTGGGTTTTCCCCTTAGGGACTAAAGTTGCGGATTTACCTACGTTAGCCCTGGCGGTCGGCGATAAAGTGTTTGAAGTGCAAAAGGAAGATTTTGGGTTCGCGAAGTGTGGGGGTGGGATGCAGTATGGTGGGATTCAGTCGAGGGGCAAGAGCGAATTTGATATTCTGGGCGATACGTGGTTGAAGGGGGTTTATGCCGTGTTTGATCAGGGGAGGAAGAGATTTGGGGTTGTGCAGAGGGTGGAGGGGGTGCAGAATCTGGAGGCGCCGAAGTAAGGGGGGGAGTGGGTTGGGGGTGTTGTTTAGTCCTGTGGCTTGAGATTGTAGTAGATGGTAGGTAGGTGGTATCGATTGTTCTGATTCTTGATTGAACTCAACTATCCCATATCTTCATACATCGTGTTTGACATGCGACTTTACGGCGCAGCAGCATTCGCGGCCAACCACTGCCCAAACGCCGCCGCATTCCTTGTCTGCATGAACACAGTGCCCGGTCCTGTGAATTTGCAGACAAGGCCCTCACCCGCCGTCATGTTACTGATGATACCTCCGCTTGCAACACGCTCGAGGACGTATTTACAGTTCCACGCGACGAGGTGACCGTTATCGATGATGTATTTTTCGTTGGCAGCGAGCTAGAAAAGTCGGTCGCGTTAGCACTTCGTTCATCTGGCATGGAGATGGATGAATGGAAACTTACATCCTTCCTGATAATCGCGCCAAAACTCGTCACCCAAAGCACACCCGTCCCACTAATCTTGTACACGAACAGTCCCTCACCACTGAACATGGCTTTGCCGATTCCCTGACTCTTGTACTCTGTCACAATGCCCTGTGTGCAAGCCAGGAACGCGTCGCGGCCCACCGACCATGTCTCCTTTCCCCCGAGCTTGATGATTGTGATGTCGCCGATTGAAGGGGGAGCAAGCAGAAGTTCACCGGGACCCGTGTATGTGGATTTGGACATGTCGCCGCCCATGAGGGCTTTCTTCAGCGAGAACTTCAGGTTGCCTTTTAGCGTCATGGTGTGGGACATTGCTATCATTGCGCCTGGGGTTGTGTTAGTCATTCGTTCTTTGCATCTTCCACTCCTTATAGGAGCGAAGTACAGATCTTGTATTGGAAGACTCACCAGGTTTAGCAGTAAAAGGACACCCAATGGCTAACTGCACGGTGAGAATAGAGTTTGTGTCCCTGTGGCTCACGCGGTAGCTTCCTCCATTGAAAGTTCCCACGTCGTCTGCTGAGGCACTTGCGGGCGCTGTGTGTGCTCCCGCGCCTACGTACTGCGGTTGCTGGGGTATGCTCTGCTGGCTCATCTGCGACTGATGGCCCATGCCGGGATGACCAGTCTTCTCAGCAGGGTATCCTGACGGTGTCGCACTTGGGCTTCCACCAGGGAAACCACCAAAGCCGGGGCTCATCGGTTGCTGTGGCTGTTGCTGTGGCTGCTGTTGCTGCTGCTGCTGCTGCTGCTGGAAAGGCGGGGGCGGCGACTGCGCTTGGCCTGGGGGCGGGAAGTGCTGTTGCTCGGGTGGCGGCGCATATTGCTGTTGCTCAGGCGGAGGCGCATAGTGTTGTTGTGGAGCGGCATTTCCACCTGGCGGAGGTGGGTAGTGTTGTTGCTGCTGTTGGTGTGCGGGAGGGGATGTGGGTGGTGGAGGGTAGGACTGGCCGCCTGGCGGAGGCGCATAGTACTGCTGCTGGCCCTGTTGGTCTAGTATGTGTCAGAAGGCTGTTCAGGAGGAGCGGTGTTGTGGTGTTGTGAGGCTGGAGAAGGAGCGTTCGGTATATGACGGGACGAATGTAGATGGTGTAGATGTACCTGGGGGTGCTACTTCTCGTCAGTTTACTTCCACATACACTGCGACATGCGACTCACGAGGGTAGTAGTTCCCGCCCGGTGGTGGAGTTCCTTGATATCCCGACATAGTCAAGCTTGCTATCCTAAGGCGACGAGTTGACGCGACTGCGGTTGGGTCTCAGAACAAGGTAAGGGGATGTTAGCAGCAACCACACGCGCAATGTAGGAGGGAAGAGAGGAGCGGAGAAGGGATTAGATTAGTCTACGGAAGCATCAGCACCATAAGCAGTATAGACGTTTTAACCGCGCGCCCCGTTGGTGTCTCCTTGGTCAAGCTGCTCAGCCTCCAGCGCGCAGCTGCTGGCTAGCGGGGTCTCTCGAGCCGCCGAATCAGCGCCCCGCGTCCTCGCCCTCGACTACGCGCCAAGCCTGTGCCACGGGTGAGTAAGAGAATAGCATAAAGTCGTTCATGCGTGAGCAGCTATTTTGGATCAAGAGATTCGAGTTGGCCAGAAACAAACATGTTCGCATGCGTCCACGATGCAGGGGAGCTCCGGGAGGCACCGTAGCTATCAGGGTCCACTTGCGACCGACTTAAGCGCCCACGACATCTCACATGCTAGTCTGCATCTTATTTGCCAGCGCGTACAGGACCTGTCAGTCATTACGCACGTACTGAGCAAGTTCTCTTCTACGTCTATTAGACTGTATCTTTTGACTCATCTCAATGTACATGAACCTTCCACAGACATTGCTTTGAATCATCATGACCGTTCATACCGCCGAAAAGCGTCATAACAGCAACAGCCGTAGCGCCCGCTGATCGAGAATCCCCAGCCCAAGCCATGCATAACATTGAACATCGTAAAGCGCATAACATCAATCCCTCTAACCCACCATTCTCCGCCTCTTTCCGATCTGGGCCGAGAAACCAGTCTTGATGGCCTGTACCGAACGTCTCGATCCGCAGCTGTTGCAAGTGACGAAGTTGAGACGGTTCTCACCCTTGGAGAGATCGGTATCGGGCGAACGGCAGGTCTTGCAGGTAACGTATTCGACAATGTATCGTCGGAGGACGTTCTCGAGTTGCTTTTGCTGGAAACGACCCTTGATGACCAGGCGCTTCTGGTCGGCGAACGAACCGCTCGTACCCAATTCGGCAAACAGGAACTGAGCAACGTGCTCGTCGGAACGCTTCATACGCTTGCAAATCTCGGCAAGGTTGGCGAAGACGGTCTTCTTGTTTCCTTCGCGCATGCACTGTGGGGGCGGGATCTTGTAGCTCTTTGTGCCCGAGCTGGCGAGGTCGGGATGTTGTGCGTGGAGGAGCGTGAAGAAGCGGTTCAGGAGGAGGTTGTACGAGATGGGGGTCGTCGAGTTGTGTTCCCAGATGCCGGTGCCCTTCATCATGTCGCCTTCTTGTACTTCGGGTTCGGGAGCAGCGACCTCCTCCTCGCCTTCGGGCTTGTCACCGCCGGCGGCAGCGAGCTTGGCCTCGAAGTCGTCCTCGACCTTCTTCTTGCTGGACTTCTTCTTCTTCTTCAGCGCGGCGAAGTCGCCCTCTGCGCCGTCCTCTTCTTCGCCTTCCTTCTTCTTGGAGGACTTCTTCTTCTTCTATTGCATTTGTCAGAAAGATATTGATGGTCGCACAAGCCTTTGCGCCTCACCTTCTTTGCGAGATCAGCGAACATGTCGGTGACCTCCTCGACCTCTTTGTCGTCGCCTGTAGCCCCGCTTGTCAGCGACTGATGTATTTCCAGTGTGTGGTCCATCTTACCAGCACTCGCTGCGTGGCCCTCAGCGGAGTCCTTGTCGCCGTTCATCTCTAGTGATTCGGTAACGTCGCCGTTGCTGTCGACAATCGTAGCACCTTCGGAAAATTGGACCGACTTGCGGGGTTTGCGGTCAGGGAGATCGGCCTGTGTAGGTGTCCGTTAGTATGTCGCTCTTTGTAGGGAAGTAGAAATAAGTCCCAGCTAGGCAGCTGGCATGCAGCAAGCCCACTTTCAAGGCACAGGATATTTCGAAAGCGAACGTGGGGCTGTGACGTACAGAATCAGCCATGATTGCGGTTGCAGTCGTGTTTTCGATGTTCAGAGGATTCTGGTAACGTTTTGGTATCGATTCGGAGTACGTAGTGATATGTAGGCGTGGTGAGTCGAAGAGTTGGGCAGGCGGTCACCCTAAAGTTCGCCGCAACACATGTGTGAGTCGAACGCTGAGTGCCAAGATTTGCATCACGTGATAACTGCCGCTAAGCCCCACCTCCGCTCATTGGCTGGAGCGCTCCGACACCATTCACCGAACGCGCCTCTGCCATAGCCGTCGCGATCCCGTCACTATCGCCAATGCTGCTACGGTAGTCCGCCGATCCAGTCATACATCCACAACCCTCTCCTGTCAACGATTCAACGTCACCGCCGTCATGTCCCTGAGCAATAGCGAGAGCTTCATCGAGCCATCCTCCAACGACGAGATCGATTCGTTACCATCCTCGGCAACAAGCTCCTCAGCCGACGAGGAAGAATACATGTCAGATGCGGACCGGGAGTGGAAAGAGTCGCTGCAACAATTGGAGCTGTTGTTGACAATGGTCATGGTGCCATACCTGGGGAAATACTTTGGCAGGAAGGCCGCATACTGGGGCACGTCATCTTCAAGGTTAGATGACCGGATAGATGGCAGGTAGCTAACATCTGTGCAGGATGGGCCAAGTTTATGGAATGGAAATACCCCGTCGAAATCGTCTTCTCGAGTCCGAAGACGTTCAAGCTGGCTGGAGCTGTTGAGGCAGCAGCCACACTATGAGCGCTTTACACTACTTCGGCGGCTTCACACAATCAAGCATCGGCGTTTATGGCGTTGGGTCCATCAGATATCCACACACATTGGACGTCACTTGTACATACCACTCTATTACCACGACATATCGAACACATATATTACAAGGCAAAGGGCACTCGCCCAACCTCTACTCAAGAATCTCCCCGTTGAGAATCGTCCTCCCATAAGCATCATGGTGCCAATGGTCACCCTCCCGGGTAGTAAGTCGGTCCTGCATATGTTTTGTGTCGATCCCGCCATCCTTGGCATGTATCTCCTCCATCTCCTGCCTCTTCTTGCTCTTGGGCTTCCCTTCTTTGATGCGTAGCTTCTCAAAGTAGACGTACGAACCATAATAGATGCCGGATGTGTTGCCGTTCAATGCCCCTTTCTTGCTGCGAAAAGCAGAGAGTTGGCGCGCGTTCAGGGTCTTGGATGGGTTGTGGAAGGACGCTGAGGCTGCACGAAGGAATGCAGCCTGGGCTACGCCGGGTTTCTTGAGGTGTGCGTTGATCTTCTTGCGGACGTCGTCGCATGTATCTATCAGCGTGTCAGTACGAGACTACATCACATCGTAAAGGAACCAAAGCTTACCGTATACGGGTACTTTATCTTCTTTCTCGAAATCCAGCTCGACATCATCGACACTAGGTACACTATCCTTCGCCGCGTCTCCTTCATTCTTCTTCGCCTTCTTATTCGCGGTCGTCTTGATGCCTGCCATCTCGCGCTGCTGGAAGAACGCGTACGCTGCCGGATATACAGAAGACTCAACTCCCTTCTCCTTCCCATGCTGGCTCATAAATCGCGAGTACGCATTGGGAGTGATGCCAACTGCCTTTTGGAACTCGCCCACTTTCATTTCGCCATTATCAATCAAGGTGCGTATCTTACGCCTGCATACAAATCAGACACTATACGCAGATCATGGAGGATCAGAGATGTTTATGGCGGCCTCGAAATACGCAACGCGCACATTGTTACTAAATGAAAAATCACATACCGTAAAACATCGCAACTCTCCGTCACAGGCCTATTCTCAAGCTCAAAATCTGATTCGTCATCATCGATGATTTGCATGCTCGGGTTAAACAGAGTTGGGTTCGAGGTAGTCGGGTTTAACACAGCCGGGTTTGGCATAGGCGCATTCGAGATAATCGTGTGCGGCATAGGAGGCGGGTACGACATAGGTTGGTTCGACGTAGGCGGGTGCGACATAGGCGGGTGCGGCATAGGCTGGTTCGGCATATGTTGGTTTGGCATAGGTTGGTTTGACATAGATTGATTCGACATGGGCGGGTAAGACGCAGTTGGGTTCTCCAAAGTCGGCATCGGGTATGGGTTCATATACGCCATGTTGGAACTGCGCGATCCTGATGTGATTATATTCCAACAACCAAAAATGGCGACAGTCTTTGGAGCGCAATGAGGTGGCAAAAGCGCAGTTTCAGAGGAAAATAGTAGAGATAAATGAGAAAGGGCGGCATTGCGATCACCCCATCCTTATGACGTCTTGTTGCGACGCGTCTGTGTTTTGCGCTAGTGGGCGGGGAAAGCACGAACGCGTTCTCAGGGGGCGAGTATCAACATCGTGATCGGGCACGCAAGATGCGATCTGAATAGACGATTAGTTCCTTTCTTTCAACGCGCGGCATCATGTCATTGAATTGTCTAAGCTACAATGTTTGAAGACGTGCAACGTCAACAAGGTCTCCCACAACTTCTGAGCCCCAAGACAGACCACCACGAGCAAAGAGGTCGTGACTCGTTGGATAGTAAGCACAATGCCAAAAGGACGCATAGCATTTCGGTCACAGCGCATGATGACTCCAGAATCTTCGCTGGCCATTGCTTTTCAATAAGTTTTTCACTCTCCAGGGCTGCTCATTCGCTGACTGAAACGGACGCTAGGCACTTGAACCGGGGGGTGTATGTGTATACAACATGAAAGCGCAGCACTATCCATAATCACGCCGAAACACGACAAGCCGCGAAATTAGACACGGCATAATCGTCCGTTCTGAGTTTGAGTCCCCTGCTCGCCGTCCCTGATTTCCCAGTCCTCGCTGCCAACAGCCGTCGTCGCGTAGAAGACGCCCTTGGGGTCCCACTTCTTCTTGATCGCGAGAAGCTTGGGGTAGTTCTTCGCGCCGTAGAAGTCGGTTTGCCAATTTGGCTCTTGGATATCCGCCTCGTTGAGATAGACGCCGCCACCTTCGGACGCCGGAGCGACTGCACGCCACGAGTCCATGATGTCGTACGTTAGGTAGTCGGACGCTTCCTTCAATTGAGCCGGCGTCGCGTTCTCTGGAACCATGTTTGCGGTGATCAAGAAAGACTGGGTGTTGCGCCAGGCCTCATTAACAGCATTGTCAACCTTGAAAGGGTTACCTGGAGCCATGTGGTAACCACCGACTGTGTGGCCGTTCATCACTGTGTCCTTGATAGTGGTGTAGAAAGAGCTGAATTTCTCTTCGGTTGCCCAAAGGCTCTTGGGGAAGAGACGGGTAGCTTGACGAATGGTGGTCACACCGAGCGTATCCGCGCCCCATGAGCCTTTGTTGGCAGAGTAAAAGTCGTCGTGGTAAGTCGTGTTGGGAGTTACTGAGATGTTGAAAGACTTCAGGTCGGCGAAGAAGTCCTTCGTAAGCGCATTGAAGGATTCGATAGTGTGGTTTGGCGCAAAGAAGGGTGTCATCTGGAAGTCGAGCGTCGCACCGTAGTTCCAGATCCAGAAGTACGAATAGGTGCCAGCGTTGGTGAACTCAGGAAACCGCTTCATGTAAGCGTTGATGCCCTTCCAGAAGTTGGCAGAGTCGTTGACTGGGGCCTGAAAAGAGAAGACAGACTTGGTAACGTGTATTCTCGGATGGGCTTTGGCGATGACTGAAGTCACGACACCAAACGTTCCGCCGCCTCCTCCGCGAAGAGCCCAAAAGAGATCGGAGTTGCTGGAGTCCGAGGCGGTTACGAAGCGCCCATCGGCGGTGACGACTTCAAACGCGAGAACTTGGTCAGCGGCCATGCCGTAGATGGATGCGAGAGGTGAGTGGCCACCTCCGGTGACATAACCACCACTCCATCCAACAGTCTACGTCTAGGATTAGTAGTTGCGCCTCCGACATATAGTGTACCACGATAACTTACTTCACAGATACCAGCCATGACGGTCACATCGTGATCGCGGGCAGCCTCCAGGATCTCAAACCCTTGCACACCGGCGCCAGCCTTGAACGCCGGGCCGCTGTACTCATCCGAATCGTACTTCTCAATGAACCTGATGTCCTTGAGATTGTGTGTCCAAATATTGAGAGCACCCGCGCCAGACGACTTTCCAATGTAGTCGTGCCCAGTGTTTTTGACAGTCAACCTAAGGTTCATATTGCGAGCAAAGTTGACACCAAGCTGCACCTGAGCAACATTCTCGACATTGATCGAATAAGATGCATAGCCACCTAGCGTACAGGTGCCACTAGGGTCGCCGGTAGGCATGCACGTGCGGCCCTGGAAGAGCGGCCACATCATCGAGGTCGGGTCGCTTGTGTGGAGATCGGATGTCGTGAATCTAGCAGAGATGTCTGCGCATTTCGCCTCATCATAGTCATTCCAGGCCGAGTCCTTGTAGCATGGCGAAGCGATGGGAGTGGTCTTGATGAGCGCTCCTCCGAGTAGGCTGTCGAAGACTGACCATACGCTCTCTTCCGGGTAGTCGGAATCGCCTGGAAAGACTTTGCATTGACCGCTGCTGATTCCATGCGTCGTATCCTCCTCATTGTCGAAGCCAAAAAGTGAAACTACATCAATCTCACTCGTCTGGTGAGCAGCCGCATTCAGGGCGTTGTTGGTCAATTGGACTGCCTCGTTCGGGAAAAGCGCAACTCCGGCAGGCGAGTTCGTAGAGACTGTGGCGGCGGCAGGTGCGACATCCCGGAAAGCAACCGGACTTCCAAGAGCGCCGATAGCGTTCGCAGCTAGAAACAACAGAAACCTGCGCGCAGACATAGCGAAAGGAGAGCTGGTGAAAGAGAGTGAACGTGTTGGCGCTACACGAACAAGCTCATCGACCCATCTTGATAAATGAATAATCACCCACGCCACATCGAGCCGAAGGATTCATTGTAGATCTACACATCAGATAGTATCCAGGAGGCAAATGTCGGGATGCCGCATGCTCTATACAACATGCATGCCGCTCGCTGTATTCACATTACTCGTACCTACATATGAAGTGGAGCCGCGGCTCGAATACCCACGGCCCGCCCCTTCGGTGGCTGTTCACTCCACGAATGAGGAACATCAACCAGCATTTCCAAGGTCGCGGGTATTCAACGTGTTTGCGCATCCTGGTGGTCTCTGGGCGAGAAGGCCGAGGAAGGATTTGGTTCGGAATGGTCTAATGGGGTTGAGGCCCCACATTATGTGGGAGTTTAGCCGCGCGCTGCAGGTGAAGATATTGTGGAGCACCTGGTATTTCGTGACACCATTGGCGATACGACTGTTTGACTTACGGCTGATCATTTTTTGGTATTGAACTTGCAAGCCCCCTAGATTCTAGAAACTGTTTCCGACCACCCCACTACGAGAATGTACTTGATGCTCTCAATGTTTCAGTGCAGCTCTTCGTAATCTCTTTCCTGCTCTTCTTCAACGATAAGTCTGGCTCCTTCAGGCAATAGTCTCCAGAGCTCTTCTCTCTTCTCATACGGAAAAGCCATACGTGCGAGGGTTTTCCTGATTTCCGCACGACCATCTTGTGACTGTTGCGATATCAAATCAAGCTGAAGACCTGGTTCGGCTAACTCCAGCTCTGTCGGTGTATGATCCGAAACCCAACTTTCCACATGCCTCCCAACGCCTCTGATCTCCATCTGCTTCACATGAGGCCATGGAGCTTCCAATAGAACGGGCAGGATCCATTGTCGGAATAGGATATCCATTGGCCGATACAAATAATGAGGGAGCGGTGGTCGAATTCCTCTTGGTGAGTCGTACTCATTTCGATTGTAACCCTGCTTGAACGAGAGAGAACGTAGGGTTTGCCGAACGGATCGCAAGAAACGCGCCCATTCAGAGTATTGTCGATCGCCCAGTTCTGTATCGTACCAAACATTCGTAAAGGAATTGCCGATGGTAACAATACACAAAGAAGTGAGAGCAGTAAAATTTCCAAGGTAAGGATCTAGCAGTCCCATCATGTACTGGTTGTCTAGGGCGGTGCGTTCATCTTCCTCGTGTTCCTGCAAATAGTCTACCATGTCTTGGACGGCAATAAACATTGGATAAGGCGGGTCAAACTCGTCAGACTGGAACAGGTTGTGTAACTCAAGTGCTTTGAGCTGGCGGGCATACTCCTGAAAGAAGCAATTGACAACGTTGCGTCGTACCCAGCCACTCAAGCGCACCGAAGTAGCTTTAGGAAAGCATATCAAAGGCAGTAGTAGAGGATCGCATGACCTTTAAAAGTCAGTAAACAATCATCGTTAAACAGCAAAACACTTACTGCGTGAAGCAAAGGTCAATCTCGGAGACGTTATCAAGGCTACGGAAAGTGCGCCAAAGAGAGCCTAACATAGTCAGCATCAGCACCTCAAGTAACGTATCTGCGTACCGTAGCTTCCATGTCCGTCAATATGAAGATCTTCGGACCCTGGGTATTTATCCGTCAAGCGCTTCATTTCGTGCTCCAAACTTTCTTCTTCTCCGTCTTCCCAAGCCGTCTCATCGCATTCAAATAAATTGAAGATTGTCCAGCATAGCACATGCGCGTGCTTACCGAGCCCCGGATCGTGCTGCAAAGTTCGGGTAAATTGCAGCTGCTTCTCAAATACGTCCAAGTCGAGGCGTCCCCACCTTCTGTATGTAAAGTCGGGTGGCACCCGATGAGGCCCGGGATAAACAGGCGTACAGTCGATAGGAGCGTTATGTGAGCTCAAGTCAATGTTGCGGTACAATTCTGGCATCTACTTGTCGTCAGTCGCTATATGAAAGTTGATGGATGCTCACATACACCGACGTCGTATAGCGAGCTGCATGTCTCGCATAGTCTCTTTATGTCGGCGCAAGAGCAAGAAGACAGGATCTCAATGAGAAGCTCTGTTGGCAGATCGAGTAGATGAGACATGTCGCTGCGACTCCATCCAGTGGCGAGATCAACGATGCACCGTCAAAGATGCGTTTCGCACTCGGGATTCCAATTAGATATCGAGTAGTGAGGTGCTGTTCGTTTTGAATGATGAAGTAGCTGTGCCACATTAGGCAGCATCCTTGGCCCTCACGCTTATATCCCTTTCTGAATCATCACATTCCTTGCATCTCCAGAACACGCGCTTAAATTTGTTTCGAGAGCTCTTGCACCC